TGAGTGAAGACCAGATGAGCGGTGGGAGGGTATCAAGGGTTTCATCCAGGAAGAGTGCAAACGGTCATTACAAAGACAAAGGAGGAAAAAAAGACCAAATGGATGTCAGAAGAAACTCTGAATATTGCACTGGAGTGCAGAGAAGCCAAAACAGAAGGAAGAATTCAAGATACTAACGAGTTGGATAGAAGATTTCAAAAAGCAGCACAGGAAGACAAACTAAAATACTATAATGAAATGTGCAAGGACCTGGGGTCAGAAAATCAAAAGGGCCGAATTCGCTCAGCATTTCTTAAGCTCAAGGAACTGAAGAAAAAATTCAAACCTCAAGTTGCTATAATTAAGGATGCTTTAGGCAGAATATTAAATGATCCAGGAAGTATTAAAAGACGATGGAAAGAATATACTGAGTCACTGTATCAGAAGGAATTGACAGACACAGAAGAATTTAATGAAACACATATGAGCAAAATTCTATTGTGGTGAAGGAAGAAGTTCAGGCTGCTTTGAAGGAAATAGCAAAAAATAAGGCCCCAGGAATAGATGGTATACCAACGGGTGTATTTCAACTAACAGATGCTGCCCTGGACGTGCTCACCAAGTTGTGCCAAGAAATCTAGAGAACAACCACTTGGCCAACTGATTGGAAGAGATATATATTTGTTCCTATCCCAAAGAAGGGTGACCCAACAGAGTGTGGAAACTATAGAACAGTATCATTGATTTCACATGCAAGCAAAATTCTGCTGAAGATTATAAAAAAATGACTGGAACAGCACATCAACAGAGAACTGCAAGAAGTCCAGGGTGGGTTTAGAAGGGGTCATGGTACTAGGGATATTGTAGCTAATGGATCTTGGCTGGAAGCAGGGAGTATCAGAGGAATGTCTATCTGTGTTTCATTGATTATGCAAAGGTGTTTGACTGTGTGGATCATAACAAACTGTGGCTGACTCTGAGAATAATGGGAAACCCAGAACACTTGATCGTGCTAATACAAAACCTATACTTGAACCAAGAGGCAATTGTCAGAACAGAGCAGGAAAATACTGCATGGTTCAAAATTGGGAAGGGTGTATGCCAGGGATGCGTCCTATCTCCATACCTTTTCAACCTATATGCAGAACAGATTATCCAGGAGGCTGGGCTCTATGAGGAGAAGTGTGGCATCAGGATTGGTGAAAGATCTATCAACAATCTGCATTATTCAGATGACACAACCCTGCTTGCTGAAACTGAGGAGGACCTGAAGCACTTGCTGCAGAAGGTCAAGGACTACAGACTTCAATATGGATTGAGGCTCAATGTCAAGAAGGCAAAGATTCTCACCACTGGACCAATTGGCAGCATCAGGATGGATGGTGAAGAGATTGAGATTGTTTATAGCTTTAGTTTGCTTGACTCCACAGTCAACACTCTTGGCACCAGCAGCCAGAAAATGAAAAGATGTATTGTGATGGGAAAGTCTGCTGTTAGGGACCTCTCCAAAGTACTGAAGAAGAATGGTGTCACTCTAGAGACTAAGGTGCATCTGATACAGGCCTTGGGCTTTGCAATCACTTGTTACCTTTCAGAGAGCTGAACAATGACTAGGGAGGATAGAAGAAGAATTGATGCCTTTGAGCTGTGGTGCTGGAGAAGAGTATTGAATGTACCATGGACTGCGAAGAAAATGAACAGGTTTGTCCTGGAGAGGGTTAAACCAGGCTACTCCTTGGAGGCAAGGACTCTGGGGCTTCGTCTGACATACTCTGGACATGTTTTAAGGAGGGACCCGTCTTTGGAGTAGCATGCCATGCTTGTGAGGGTAGAGGGACAGTGCAAGAGAGGAAGACGTTCTATGAGGTGGATTGATTCAGTGACTGGGGTAATCGCAGTGGGTGTATAAGAGACAGTCTGATTGGCATAGGACAGAGCAGGGTTTTAGGCGGTTGTACCTAGGGTCGCTATGAATCGCAAGTAACTCGATGGCACATAACAACATCCATGAGCATGGAATATTCTTCCATTTACCAGACCTTTTTTTGTTCTTGTAATAGTGTTTTGTAATTTTTTTTCTTATGTAGGTCCTTTGTGTCTCTAATCATGTTTGTTCCTAAGTTTCATCTTGTTCCTAAGTATTTCATCTTCTGGCTAGCTGTTTTAATTGGTATTATTTTTCTTGTTTCATTTTCTATGTTTTCTTTGCTACTATAGATAAGTATAACTGATTTTTGTATGTTGGTCATCTATCGAGTTGCTTTAGTCAACAATGTCTGACAGTTTGCTTGCAGATTCTTTAGAGTTTTTAAAGTATACTATACATGTGCATTATATTTTTTACTTTCTCTTTGCCAATTTGTATGCTTCTTATTTCCTTCTCTTGTTTAATTGCTTTCAATAGGACTTTCAATTGAAAAATGAATGGGCCTGATGATAGTAGGCATCTTTGCCTGTGGGTGATGTTGGTTTAGAATGTTGTTGTTATGTGCCATCGAGTTGACTGTGACTCATGGCCACCCTGTGAACAATAGCTCTGAACCCTGCTCTATCCTGAGTCAATCTCACTGTTTTTGACTCAACTACCAGCTATTACCCGTTATTGAGTCAATCCATCTCTTCTGGGGTCTTCCTTTCCTGTGCTGTCCCTTGGTCCTTCCAAGTATGATATCCTTCCCCAAAGACTGGTTTCTCCTAGCTACATGCTCTTAGAAGTATGTGAGACAGAGTCTCAAAATCCCTGCCTCTGAGAAGCAGTGTGGTCTCACCCTTTCTCGGCTAGACCTATTAGTTCTCTTAGCAGTCCATGGTATTTTCAGTTCTCTTCTTCAGCATCAAAATGCAAAGGCCATCAATTCTTCTTCTTTAGTCCTTGGTCATTATCCATATCTCTGAAGTATAACAAGTAACTGAGAAGACCATGGCCTGGGTCTGGCACATCTTAATCATGAGATTGACATTTTTGCTCTTTAGCACCCTAAAGTGTTCCCTGACAGCAGATTTTCCTAATGCAATT